AAAAGTGTTTCGATTAGAGAAGTGTTCCGATTATAAAGGTGTTCAGATGGAATGGTAATCTGAGTAATTAGAGAGCTTTTTTAGATACGGGAGGTGTTCAGATAAGGAGTATATTCTAATTCATTCATAGACATTTTTTCTTTTTTGATTTCAGCTTATTTTTCGGCATTGCAATTTATTAAAAAATAAACTAAACATTTTTATTATTAAGTAATTTTTTATTTTGAATTGAGCATTAAAGATTTTATGTCTCCCTCTTCATAGAAACATGGTGATTGTCACATTAAATAATCTGCCTGTGACAATAAAATAAACTGTTATAACAATAAAATAGGACAATAAAATTACAACTGTTCACTAACCTAACCTGTTTACTAGTTTTTTATGTCCCCACCACATAGTGTGGGGCCATATTGTCGGCCTAGGCGCGTCCGTCTGTCCGTCTGTCCGTCTGTCTGTCCGTCTGTCTGTCCGTACGTCCGGCAGTTTTCTCCAAAACCGCTACAGATATCACCTTCAAATTTTCAGGGATAACTTATGAGTGCATACAGATGTGGATGAAAAAAATTAGTTTTTTATGTCCCCACCACATAGTGTGGGGCCATATTGTCGGCCTAGGCGCGTCCGTCTGTCCGTCTGTCCGTCTGTCTGTCCGTCTGTCTGTCCGTACGTCCGGCAGTTTTCTCCAAAACCGCTACAGATATCACCTTCAAATTTTCAGGGATAACTTATGAGTGCATACAGATGTGGATGAAAAAAAATTAACTCGATACCTACTTCCTGTCGGCCATTTTGAAGTCAAATGCTAAAATCCTTGTCTGCAAACTTTAAGAAAAACTGCTTCACAGTTGCTTTTAAAACTTTAACATCTTGTTCAGCTCACTTCATTCTAGATCTGATTAGGTTTTGGACCTGCTAGCTCAGTCATGTCAGCCATTTTGAATGTCTTAAGAAAAGTTAGCGCGCGATAATACTTTGTATCATATTGAATGGTGTTTTTGAGTTTTCATACTTTAACTATTTAGTAGCTTTATAAATAATTTCAGATGTACTTTGCTGTAAAAGCCTACTTTATTGTTAACAGTAGTTATATGTGATAATTTTGTAAAAAGAAATCAGCAAAAACTCATAAGGACTTTTTTATTGTCGGCCATTTTGGATTTTTCGGTCCTAAAATCTTGTCTGTAAAGTCTTGTCTACCCGTTTTCAGGTGAACCGTTTGGTGGATCAATTTCAAATTTTCAGGGATGATTCTTAGTATAAAAATCTAGATCTCATTAGTTTTTTGGCATTCTGGGTAAATGTCAAGGCAGCCATTTTGGATTTTCCGTCCTAAAATCTTGTCTGTAAAGTCTTGTCTATTCGTTTTCAGGTGAACCGTTTCGTAGATCAATTTCAAATTTTCAGGAATGATTCTTAGTATGAAAATCTAGAACTGATTAGTTTTTTGCATTCTGGGTAAATGTCAAGGCAGCCATTTTGGATTTTCCGTCTTAAAATCTTGCCTGTAAAGTCTTGTCTACGCGTTTTTAGGAGAACAGTTAGATAGATCAATTTCAAATTTAGATGATTCTTTGTATGAAAATCTACATCTGATTACTTTTTTTGCATTCTGCGTAAATGTTAAGGCAGCCATTTTGGATTTTCTGTCCTAAAATCTTGTCTGTAAAGTCTTGTCTACCCGTTTTCAGGTGAACCGTTTGGTAGATCAATTTCATATTTTCAGGGATGATTCTTAGTATGAAAATCTACAAACAGATTAGTTTTTTGACATTCTGGGTAAATGTCAAGGCAGCCATTTTGGATTTTCCATCCTGAAATCTTGTCTGTAAAGTCTTGTTTACACATTTTCTGGTTAACTGTGTGACGGATCAATTTCAAATTTTCAGGGGTGGTTCTTAGTATGAAAATCTAGAACTGACTAAATTTTTGGCATTCTGGGTAAATTTTAAGGTGGCCACTTTGGATTTTCCGTCCTCAAATTGTATTGGTAAAGTCTTGTCTACTCATTTTCAGGATAACCATTTCACGGGATCACCACTTGGTGGGGACATTTTGTACACATTTGTGTTCTTATATTTTGATGCTATATTTTTTTTATTCTGATGCTATATTTTGGTCCAGAAGGGTAACCTTACATGAAAAAAGCATTTTTCTGCATTTTTAATTTAAAAAATTAGTGTAATTTATTTTGATAGCTAAGAAACTGGTTCAGAACACTTCTTTTTTTGCAGTGATGCAAACATGTAGCAAATATATATAAAAACATTTGTTTAAAATAGTTGAGAAAGTTCAAGATTTTGATGGTGATTAAAAGAGTAATTTGTGGTAGTAAGTTAAAACTGACAGCATGATCCTTTAAGTAAAACTGACTTGATAATCATATCAAGACCCTTTAAGCAATTATATGTATTAAGTGAAGTGCAATCTACCTCAATTTTAAGAATGCTTTCTTATCTTTACATTCAATTTATTGCTTTTGACACAAATATCTGTTAGAGGCAGAGCTACTGTTCTTGTGTGATGAATGTATAAAAGTCATTCGATACATGTACATGTATATTAAGACCTACCATAATGAAATACTGTTCAGTTCTTTGAATTTCTCCACAGCTTTGATGCAAGTTGGTGCTGTACTTATTTGAAAATGAAAAAAATCATGAAAAATTGGCCTATTTCGGCCAAAGTTTATATGAATTTTAGAAACAAAAATTTGACAACTGAAGGAAATTACCTTTACCAGCTATTTATCATTGTGGGATTCACAGTCTGTATTATCCCTTGGAATACACACTTACTTTAGGTTGAGAGACTGATAAATCAGAACATTGGCTATTTATGGAACCCCTGCATGTCTATGTGAAATTTATGGGAGAGGCGATCAAAAATCGTTTTCCTGCCAGTAGTATTGCAAATTGTCTGTATTCACATTTGTAATCTGCATATGATTCAGTTTTACATTATGAATTGGCGTTATAATCTTTAAGCTTATCCTAAAGCTGACAAGTTGGGCTGTTTATGCCTCATATCTCATAGGGTGAAACGACCCTTACCAGCAATGATCTCATAGTATGCACTTTTCAATCATTCTCCTACTCTAAAATTTGAATAAAGTGCCTGATTTTCTTGCATTTCTATACAATTTAGAGTGTTAACTTCATGTCTGTTTATTTTATTAACTGCTGATTTCACTCTTGTCCACTGTATTTTGAATTTCAAAACATGATATCATTAGAATATACTACTCAGTTAGGTTGCACTTTATCTTTGGAAGTCCAGAACTATCAACTGAACATTAGTTTGTTTGCGATTCTTGTTTGAAATATCCGCCTGCTCGTGCTTATTTCACTCAATTTCTCTCTAAAATTTGAATAAACTGTCTAATTTTCTTGCATTTCTATACAATTATGACACTTGACTACATGCCTATTTACTTTATTTCTTGCTGATTTGGCTATTTTACACTTTATTTTGCTTTTTATAAATGTGAGACATTAGATATTTTATACATTGGTTATATAGTTACAATCTTTACTTAACATACATACATATAATTCAATCTAATTCAAAAATTAATAACGTTACACAATTATGTATCTCAAGTTTCCCTTCTGTGAGATTGTGTGATGTAACAGTTTGAAATTGATCAGAATTTTTATCAAATATTATAGGTTTTTATCTGTAAATATTGCTTTGTTTACCTGCTTTTGGTATATGACAGTAAACAAATGCAGAGGTCTTTCTCTGTGCTGCATTTGTTTACTGTGACATATATGAAGTACACTTTTTATTAAAAAAATCCAAAATTAACACCCTATGCAGACAGAGCCTGTGGGAAATATTGGGTGCGGAGCAAATGAGCGGAGGGTGCGGAGCTAACGGTTATTTTTGAATTTAAATTTGGGATATTTCTGAAACTAAGCCGTTTTGGGACTTCAAATATACCAAGATATGTGTATTTGACACCAAATATCAATACAATTGTGAAAATAGTAGCGCAATTCATTCTATAGCGACGCAGTGTGCCTTAAACCTTTCCCAGACCTATATATTTTGAAATTATCCTTTTAATACTGAGTCCCCAGCATTCATAAAAAATGGTGTTCAAGGTGCACTATCTATACAAATTATTTTTGCATCTTGGAAGCCAGGCAGTATCTGTGTGATTTTATAAAAATTCGGAAATGTTCTTCAGATATGAGCCCCTCTAAATATTGGGTGCGGAGCAGCTCCATAAACGTAGCTCCGCACCCACTATTTAGAGGGGCTCATATCTGAAGAACATTTCCGAATTTTTATAAAATCACACAGATACTGCCTGGCTTCCAAGATGCAAAAATAATTTGCATGGGTAGTGTATCTTGAACACCATTTTTTATGAATGCTGGGGACGCAACTATTAAAAGGATAGTCTCAAAATATATAGGTCTGGGAAATGTTTAAGGCATACTGCGTCGCTATAAAATGAATTGCACTACTATTTTCACAATTTTATTGATATTTGGTGTCAAATACACATATCTTGGTATATTTGAAGTCCCAAAACGGCTTAGTTTCAGAAATATCCCAATTTTAAATTCAAAAATGACCGTTAGCTCCGCACCCTCCGCTCATTTGCGCCGCACCCAATATTTCCCACAGGCTCTGTCTGCATAGGGTGATTAAGCTAACAAACAAACACACACAAACAAGCAAACAACCAAACAAAGAAATAAATTCACAATTATTTTGAATAATATACTGTTATATAATTTCAGGCTTGTATTTTGTATAAATACATTGGTAGATAATATTGAAATATCGAAAAAAAAAATTTTAATTTTTTAAGTTTATTTCTAATAATCAATATAAGTAAAAATCTCATTGCTAAAATTTTATAAAATTAGCAGCAATTACAACATAATTTACAAGATATAAATTGATATGTTGAAATAAAAAACAACATGTACAAACAAACAAAAAATAGACAACAAGATAACCCATTGTTTTGTGTGTTTCAGTGCCTAATGCAGAATGTCGGGGTCAGCCTCTATAGATGAGGTAGAGGCCGCTAAAGAGTTTGAGAAAGGGCGTATCAGTCAACTAAAAGACGAGCGGGTTTATATACAGAAGAAGACTTTTACAAAATGGATAAATTCCTTCTTAGAGAAGGTAGGTAGAGTAAAGCCTGTCTAAGTGGAACATCTATAGTACCTCTAAAAATTGTTCTACTCGGGAGGTGTTCAACCCATAAATGTTCATTTAGTTTTCGGTCAATTTGGACTCTAAAGTGTTCCACTTACTTAGGTGTTTCAAAAAACTTATTTCACTACAAATGATCAAAAAATAATCATAATGTTATAATGTTACAATGATACAAATATTTAAATTTTTATAGAAATTGGAAAATATCACACAAAATCATTGAAAATTAAGCCATCAGAATATCATTATTTTTTAATCTTTTGCTCATTTCTTTGATTAAACACTTTTTCTAGTGGAGTGTTAATCATTGGTACATCACTTTCAGTCATCAAATTGCTGATTATGATTTTATATGTTATTAAACTGATACTGATTTTTCACTAATTCTTCTTTTGTTCTCCATCACAGGTGAATATGGAGGTGGACGACATCTTCACAGACCTCGGGAACGGGAGAAAGTTGATGAAATTACTGGAGATAATCTCGGGCTCCAACCTCGGCAAACCAAACAGAGGAAACATGAGAGTACAGAAAATCGAGAACCTCAACAAAAGTTTAATATTCCTTAAAAGTAGAGGAGTAAGTATTTTAATTTGAAATATGAAAAGGATTTAATCAAGTAAAAATGTGGGAATATTGGAGTACAAAAAGTAGAGTTAATGTCATGTTTTTTTCCGTTTTAGTTATGTTTCTTTAATGCAGAGATATGGGTAATTTTTTAATTTAGATAATACTTTTAACTCCATTTTATTTCATTTTGTTTGTAATTTATCCATACATTGTACTGATTATGTTATGTTTATTTAGGTATCAGACTTATTCTTGTCTTCTTTAATTTAAATTTTGCCTTTACTTCAGGTGAGGTTAGAAAACATAGGAGCTGAAGATATCTTAGATCAAGACAAGACACTCATTCTAGGTCTCATATGGACTATCATTCTCAGGTTCCAGATTGAAGAAATTGAAATTATCGTGGTAAGTTACACGTGGTGCCTTTCTCTTACTTTAATTTCCCTTCTTTATTGATGATTCAGTTCAACCACGTTCAAAACCTACATGCGAAAACCTGCAAATCCATACGCTTTTGGCAGACCCACTGGCAATGAGATTAAAAGGCTTTAATGTATTTTGATTATTGTCATGTGTTAGGTTTTAATAAAGCAATGCATTCTTGGGGTTCACTAGAATTTCTCAGAACAGGCTAAATAAATGAAAACAACAGGCAAAGTTAATAGAAATCATATATTTAACATGGGAAAGTTGAAAAGTTCCTAAAAACAACAGGCATGTTTGTGAAAACAACTGGTGAAAATCGCCTGCATTCTAATAAAGCAATACTTAATTTTGATATACAGTAGAACCTATTTAGGTGTAACACCTTTGATACTTGTACTTGTAAAAAGGGTTCCACTTCGGAGGTGTTTCATTTATCAGGGGTTTCATTAGCAGCAGGCAACAGGCGATTTTCACTGGTTGTTTTCACAAAATCGCCTGTTGTTTTTAGGGACTATTTAACCTTTCCATGTTAAATTCATGTTAAATTCATGTTTTCATTTATTTAGCCTGTTGAGAGAAATTCTAGTAAAACTCCTTTATACAGGTTCATTTAACATAAAGCCAGTTGAAGTGTCCCACTTCTAGAGGTGCTCACTCTTTACAGGTTTCACTGTATTTCATATTTTCCTTTAGGACGAAGATAATGAAGGTAGTGAAAAGAAATCTGCCAAGGATGCCTTGTTGCTATGGTGTCAGAGGAAAACAGCTGGTTACCCTGGTGTTAAAATTGAGAACTTCAGCACAAGTTGGAGAAGTGGTCTGGGTTTCAATGCTCTTATACATGCACACAGGTGAGATAGATGGCGGTGTAAGATTATACTAGAATTTTAAGACTACGCTGGAATTATAAAACTATACTAGAATTATAAGATTATAGTAGAATATGCCCCATCAATACATAGCTTCGTTAGCTACACCTCTGGGGTCACAAATCATTGATCATCTTAAAATAGACAATGATTTGTGCAGAATTGTATGGAACCTTGACTCGGGTCATCCTGACACAAAGCTATTTCCCTTGCCCAAATCCACAACTAATTGCTTGTAGTTCAGTTGTTAGAAGCATAATAAATTTAATATCATTAGGTTTGCAATAAAACTGCTCATCCATTTAATTAGAAACTAAGATACTCCAAATGAATATTTTGTTTAATTTCTTTTGTTCTTTTTAAACATTTTCTAGGCCTGACCTGATCCAGTATGATATGTTGAACCCCAATGACCATTTAGACAACCTAAACAATGCATTCACTGTGGCTGATGAGAAACTAGGCATTCATAGACTGTTAGATGCTGAGGGTATGTACATTAAACATAAGTTATAGGCTCCCTATGAATTTTACAAGCTTAATGAAAGGTTGGGGATCTGATTTGTTTAAATTCACAGAGAGTAATGACTTTTATTTTGGCACTCTTGCAAATAAATTCAGTTTCATGGATTTTAAAAATTATTTGGGGGAACTCTTAAAAAGCCCCCAGGTCCTCTTTCTGCCCCCCCCCCCTTCCCAGTTGAGTATCATGAAATCTCGCGAATAATATATTTTATTCTAATGATGTCTACTTGAGAGACTAACTCATTTTGCTTGGTTACATCAATTGAATACTTCTTTTGAGTGTTTGCACTCCTTTTGTATCAAATGTATCAGTTCAAGTGTTTAAACAGAAATGAAATAACATATAGGTAGTGTTATCAGTTTATAGTCAATAAAAGGCAAACATATTTTGCTTATCAGCAGTATCATTTATTTACTCATTTATAAACAATATGAATTCAGATGTGAATCTCAGGGGAGCTTGTTCAAGATAAATTCACTGATTGTAAATATGAAACTTTCCCAAAATCAACAATCTATTGTTTTAAATCAACAATGAATACAATATATACAATAAATGCATATCTCATTGTCTAGCAACATCGTCTAGTTTCATAGATGTGTCATCAGAAAATTTATTTTTCAATGTTACCTTTAAAGAGATGCCTCATATTATAACTGGCATTGTGGACTGCTCAACATTTGAAAGTAAGATTTAAAAGACAGAGTTATTAAACTTATTAGTCTGTATGGGGTGATTCAAAAATAGGTGAGGCGTTTGAATAGAGGAGGCAAAACTGAAGTTGGATTTAAAGAACTTCAAATTTTCTCAGTAACATTTTTTTCTGTAAATTATTTAAAAACAACTATTTTTATGTCACCACCAAAAGTGGGGACATATTGTTATGGTCTCCATCTATTATATGACGGTGTTTGGTGGTTGGCGCTTTGTGTTTGGTGTCTGTAACAAATGGGAGGTGGTGACATTTTGCATGTTTATGCCTTGTTCTGGAATATTTTGGTGAGGCTACTGCCTCTGCCTCACTTACAATTGCCTCACTTGCCTCAGAGCTAGTTATGATGTTGCTGTATCTCATACATGCATCTTCTCTGTTTCAGATGTGGATGTCCGAAGACCAGATGATAAATCTATTATGACGTATGTCTCTTCATATTATCATTACTTTGCCAAAATGAAGAAAGAAGAAACTGGGGGTAAAAGAATTGCCAAAGTGAGTATGAAAGCTTTTATGACTTATAATAAATGTACTGGTAGTTGCAAATGTTGGAATGTCAGTCATTGAAGGTGTTAGCAAAAAATCAGATTATTTCGAGAATTCTGTGCCAAAAATGTGAAGATTCTATGCCAAAGTCAAATTCTATTGTTCAACCAGTTATGAAGATGCCGTATTTGTGGATTGATGTTTGGTTTGGAAGAGAATCACCTCCATGATGTATGTGTAAAATAGCATAAACTTAACAATCTTGAATTGTTTTGTTTGAGTGATATATCATTTTCTTGTTAGTTGGATTATCTATCCAATGGCATATTAACTGAACTGTGGAGAAATGAAATAAGAAGATAATTTGTTGTTTTTAGGTTGTTGGAAAAATTATGGATCTAGATGGCGCTCAAACAGACTATGAGACTCTGACGTCAGGTCTCTTAAGATGGATTCAGCAGAAACTTCAACTCATAAGTAGCCGTAACTTCCCGAATTCCCTCGATGGAATCCAAAAAGAGGTTGTCAATTTTAAGACATACAGAACAGTGGAGAAACCACCCAAGTAAGTGCAGTCTTGAATGTGATTCAAGTCTTGAAATAGGATTCAAGTCTTGAATGTGATTCAGAACAAAGGGATAAAAAATTCAAGGATTAAAAATGGAATTACAAAAAACACTCTTCATCACTGAATTAATTTGAGGATCATTTTTCCTGTTTTACTTGAACAATCAAACATACAAAACAAACCAAAATTCTCTGCAAAAATTCTCATTGTGAAAAAATGAAAGCTTTTTATAATTTCATTATATTATCATGATAACATCTTAGTTTCGTTCCAATTTTCATCTCTGTCTTATCTCTATTGTGTTAAGGTACCATGAGAAAGGCAATTTAGAGGTTGCATTCTTCAATATACAAGCCAAACTGAAAGCCAATGGCAGAAGACATTATACACCCCCAGAGGGCAAACTGCTGCATGACATTGAGAACGCATGGACAGTTCTCGAGAAGGAGGAACACAAGAGGGAGATCGCTCTAAGAGATGAGATGATCAGGTAAGAAATAATTCATTCCATATGATACAAAAAGGTGCTATGTTGAATCTAAAAAGAGCGATGTTGTACCTAAAAATGGTGCAATGTTGTTCCTAAAAAGGTGCAATGACTATTGTGCCTAAAAGATGTCATGTTGTACCTAAAAGGTACAGTGTTGTATCTAAAAAGATGCAATGATGTACCCAAAAAGGTCAATGTAGAGCCTAAAGGGGTGCAATGTTTGAACCTAAATAGCTGGAATGTTGTCGCCGCTTAGATGATGACTGGCGGTGTCTCACCTTTATTGTGTGCATATTTCTAGACAATCTGCTCAAATTGATTTGAAATCTTTAGGGATGTTTTTGGAATGAAAATCTAAAACTGTTTAAATTTTGATATCAAATGGACATTTCATCATTTTTTAGGCAAGAGAGGCTCGAACAGTTAGCAGAGAGATTTGAGCGTAAGGCCATGCTGCGTGACTCGTGGCTGACTGACATGGCAGCTGTACTTGCCAAACATAAATGGGGAAACAGTACAGCTGAAGTGGATGCAGCTGTGAAAAGACATGAGGCTATAAGTGCTGAGATCCTCGCTAGGGTATGTTTTACCATAAAATATAAACTGAAAAAGAGTGGAATCAGTAAGGAATGAATTATAACAGTAAACAGGCATGTATTCAATTCCTAGTTGATGCAACAACTCCTAATATTTAAGCTGTGATTGTCAAATGGTTATTTAAAATATTTTGGTACCCCATACTATGCATGGTATTCTTTTCCTTAAATAAAAGTTGTCATCTCTATATATATTATGTCACTAAATACTGTTAATTCCCGCAATTTTTTGTGACCTCCATTCAGCATCGGTGTATAATGTCCGTGGTGTTATCTGTGACATATTGTTACACTTTTGTAACACATTTGCAGGCGTTGACATTCTTGTATATTTATTGAATTTTCATCAACCAACATTTCCTTTTCTTGTATCCATTCATATATTCTCTTTATATAATATTTAATATCTTTTTTCAGAGCGATCGTTTCCATGCATTAGAGGTTATGGCCAATGAACTGATCAAGGCAAATTACCATGAGAAACTGCCAGTGAGCAAAAGGTAGGAAAGAAATCATACAAGAGAAAATGACACTGTCACTGTCATGTTAAACATGCAAAATAGAGTGGAAAATATGGGAATAGTGTGAAGAGACATGTCGTCAGAACTTAAACTTTGATTTTGAAAAATGTGTAATACAGATTTACGGTGGAACAAGGAACAATGTTTTTGGTTACAAAAATAGATAGGAATTTTGTTTGAGAATTATTGATTTATAAATGTATGATTTTATTTCTAGACAAAAGGAAATAGAACAGAAATGGCTGAACTTGCTTGATGAGCTAGATGTTAAGAAACAAGCTCTTGGAACTATAGCTGAGCAGATAGGGATGTTCCGTGAAATGGAGAGCATTCTAGCTGAGATGAAAGAAATTGAGGTACTGACATGTTGACCTCATTTTCAGGAGATATCATGAAGAGATCTCATGGGTTGGTTTATAACAGTGCATGATTAATAATTTGTAATATTAACATATTGTTACTAATTTTGGGTTCATTTTTATGTGTTAGGTCAAATGGTTTATTTTACATGTTGATGAAGTACACATAATTATATGGGAATATGGGAGAAATTAAAAACCCATGGCTTCACCAGGGAGCAAAAACTTTTACCCTGTTCCCTGAAACTTTCTTTTTGTTAAATTTTGATCGATATCATTGTTTTGATTGGATCTCTTACATGATCGTCATAACATTTTTGGATGCTTTGATCATTTATTTTTCGTTGATGTATTTTGCATGGTTAATATTCCATTTTTCATTTTTCATTTTAACACTATAACCCCCATTATTATCCCACTAGAATTTGTACTAATAAGTACTAACACACTAAAATTTTGCTTTACTATAATATTAATTTTAGCACAAGTTGAATTTCAAAATTAACTTGAGTCGTTGGAGTAAATTAATGCTGCAAATCTCCATCAGATGTCGCTGCGGGTGTGATGGTAGCGCTAACGAGACCCTCATGGAGGTGACCAATCGGATTGCATTCTATAATGATATATCAGTCAGTGCATGCTGGGATTGCTCATGTTAGCGATTCATATTTTGGTGGAAGTGGCAAATTGAAATATGTGCCATAATATAAGAGTGCATGCTGGGATATGAAAATTCTCGTGAACTAGTATAAAAGGGACCAATATTTCTCCTTTCTCTAACGCGATGCCAAATGGAAGGTTTCATTGGAATGTGACAAGTTTTGAACTTATGTGGTGTGAAATTCTGATTCTTGTCCTTGATGAATATGTAAAACCTGAATAAAATCTGTCCTCTAATGGTTTCTTATATTTTCATTGAGGTTGAAAGTTTGGAGATCTGGTCCTTGGAGATGTATTGCTATCATAATAATGTAATTTCAAAGATTTATTAGTTAGGCTAGTGCATGTTTATATCCTGTTGAACCTCAAGTATTTTTTTTAGATTAATAAAAGTTAACAAAGAAGACCACTTTGGTTAGATACTTCTGTTGCAAAATTGATCACTGGTGATCGTGGTTGTAATGCACTAATGAGTCAGAAGGGTTTGGTTGCATAAAAGCAGATTTGTTTGTGTTTTTGCAAGTTGTCAAAATATACTGTCTTGGTCGATTATGTAATGTCATATTGCATGGGCTATAAATCTAAAAAGAAAATATTACAGAATTCTACTGTAAATTAATTCAGTTGTATGTCTCGGCATAAATACTGTGTTTTTAGTTGAGCGATGTTCTTTCAAGAAATTGCTTACAATTAACAAATTTTACTTAAAACATCATATTCACTATGGCCTGTCAGTGATTAAATATTGCCCATAATGCATCTGGATTTGCAGTTGTTTTAAGTTTAGAAAATATTAGAAGATTGGATGACTTTATAATTATCTGCTGATTGATCAATTGCCATTATTTTATCAAGATTTCTAAAAGCTTTTCCCATAATTCAAAAACTTTTCCAACATATCATCTGTTTTCTAATTATGCACCAGCATTCTTGCTAGATATCAGAATTTACACCAGAGTGTAAATATATCCCATAATGCATTTAATTAAACAGACACAATTTTCGGTTTCAGAGCAGTGTAAGGTCAGGTGACTATGGCAAACATCTTCTGGGAGTTGAGGACCTCCTTCACAAGCACAGCCTCGTAGATTCCCAGATTAATTCTCAGAGAGACCGCATAATGAACTTAAATAAACGTGCCAACACACAAACTCCCGGAACAAAAGACGCAGATTTGTTACAAAAACGTCTGCAGCATTTGAACCAAGAGTTTGCAGAGTAAGTTTCAGATTTTGTTCCCCGCTCATTTAGCCGTCATGTCTATAAATGGGAAAGGGGTCAATCAGGGGTCCAGCATCTCAAATAAATCAAAAACCATCTAAAATTATGAGATGGAATTTTATGTTTTAGATAAAGATTAGCAGAACCTTCTTGAAAAGCAGCAATTAGAAATTGAAATTAATGTTTTTGCAGATCTAAATAATGGGTATCTGTTGTCAAAACAACTGGAAAATCTGAATCATCAATATATAATGTTTTTTTTAAAATAGCTAAAAGTAACTAAAACATTTTGTTTTCAGTTTGGATAAATTGAGTAAGGATCGCCAGAAGCAACTAGAAGAGTCGAAGAAATTCTTCCAGTTTATCCAAGACAGTGAGGAAGAGGAATCATGGGTACTTGAGAAACAGAGAGTCGCCAAATCACAGTCCACCGGCAAAGATCTCCTAGCTGTGCTAAGTCAACTGAAGAAACATGAGGTGTGTGAGATAGTTGAAAATTAGAATAATGCCATTTTGGTTAATTGAAAATATAAAACAAACCCCAAGAAATTGTTGGAGAAGTCTAGGAAAAAGAGATGAATTGGCAAGAAAGAAGTACAGATGTTTAGCGAAAGAAGTCTTGGAAATTGAGGTAGTTCATCTCAAGGAGAGAAAAATTGGTTTTGATTTCAAACGGTATTACATAAAACTTGTCATTCTTAGAAAATACTACAGTAACTGTATAGATATTTGTAATAAAACTCAAACAGTGGAGACGATAACCCCATTTAACGTGTTACACGGAGATTGCCATTTTGCACGTCAATTGACGTGAATCACGCTAATAAGCAGAATGTCAATTGTAATTCATAATTTGAAACACCAGGTTAATTAGAAGACCCAGTGTTTACAATATATACAATCTAAGTAATATTTCTTTTATAGTACGTATACTTAGGTAAACATTAATGATATATTAAATCCCAGGGAAGTATTTCATTCCAAAATTGTGGAGAAAATGCCGTTCAATCTTGTGAATTTTCTGTCAATGTTACGAACCAATGAAATCACCACCGAACTTGCATTCTTGGAAAGTCTAAATCGATCGATGGAACGCTTTTCATTGCATTTTCTTCAAGTAGTTAATCTAATCTAGCACTTGTATGCAGGAATTCGCGATCTTATGTGGCAATTTTGCGCTAAAACTAATCAAAGTTACCTCTCACGAATCCTAGAAAAACGCCATATTGGAATTACTAATGCTCCTTCAATTGTCTATTTATCGTCTTTCCGACGGGTTTTACGGCAAAATTGGTACTGACCCAATGGTATTTTAATCTCTTGACACAACGTGAGCCCCAAATTCCGAGAAAAGACCACTGGAAATCACTAAAATGGGGTCTACTTCCCCTCTTCTTTTTGACCGGAAGTGTTTTCCTGACCTTGATATGTTGCTGATTTTTTCGTTTTTTTCCTTGCTGGATTTAATTTTTAAACCTTCTTTGCGATGATCCAATGATTACCTTAAATGAATTATAAACAATTTAAATTCCTATCCCCATTAGATCAGAATTTATTAGTTTTCTTTCCATTGTTTGTTTACTTCTGGTTTGCTGTTGAATAAATATTTCTTGTAAACATTGACGAAAGCACATCATAATAGTTGTTAGTTCAAAATGCAACCTGGACAATAGCAAATGTTTATGATTATAACTATTACATACGATGCAGATCATGATTTACCCACTAGTTTCCAAGTTTATAACTGCCTGTCGTCCTGCCGATAATATGTGAAACTTTTAAAAGATGATAGTTTATACGTCAAATGCCGTGCAAAATATTGCACATCACTTGACGGACATGACGGCAATTGCCGCTATTATCTATTGACATGCGCACTTATGCTTTATAATTTCATGTCAATTGTCGTGCAACATGGCAATTGCCGTACTTCACGTTAAATGGGGTTATCGTCTCCACTGTCAAATATTCAATTATAAATAAATTTTATTCAAGTATTCACCTTAAAGGGCTAGTGAGTCTTGAAATATAAGTTATTCTTATATATTGAACATATTTTGAAAAATATTTAGGTTGTAAAACCGAATAAATAATCCAAAATTATTTCATTTTAGGGTCTTGAAGCCGAAATGCAAGCAAGGCAACCAAAATCTGAGGCACTCTGTGTGATTGGTCAAGAACTGATACAAAATGAACACTATGCAAAACGTGATATAGGATCGCGGATTCGTAGCCTTCAAGACAATTGGCTTAAGCTACAACAACTTGCAGCTGCACGACGAACCCGACTTGAAGATGCGGCTGAATCGCAACAAGTAAGAATTAAAGGAATTATAAGGGATAGAAAGTGTACATTGTCAGAAGATGACATAAGTCACATGTTCAAATTCAATTTCTCTAAAAATGTACAGGTTTCCCTAATAACTGGCTATAATACTGACTACGGAAATAATTAAACAGTTTACATATGCCATCTATTTTGTGAATACCTGCGCATCTTTCACAACTTCAGTTTTACTTGCGAAATATGCACAGGTATTCATTCACCTTAACAGAATGAACTATTTGTTGTAATATTAAACCCAATGTATTCAAATAGATGGCATATGTGAAGTAATTAATTTTTGTGATCAGTCGAGTCAGTTATGTAATGAGGGAAAGCCGTAACACAATGTTTAGAGAACTTAAAAGTGCACATGTACTGTAGAATCATGGCCATCTAGGGATTAGTTATCCCCTTCCTATTATTTACGTGCCCTGTCATGTTCAAAGGCAGAAGGGAAATTGTTGTAATTAGGTCCCTGGACAGTCCCTAGAAAACCAATTTAGAGGGGGAAAGTTAAATCCCTGGGTGTCTTAAGATTACCTGTTTATGTACAAGTTATTTAAAATGACATACATGTACAATATATTGATGTATACAGTTATAGTAAATATATTGCCATCCAATCAATTTACATTTACACGATTTTGAACAAAATGCTCAATTGGCCGGGCACCTGCCGATGAATCGGAGCAAATGTGAACCAGCCATTACTTGATACTTCTAAAGATATATTTGAATTGTTTTACTACGATCATTTAGATTGTTTTACTCCTATAAGTTACTTAAATTGTTTTTCTACTTACTATAACTTAAATTGTTTTACTCCTAGAATTTAACATTTTTATTACTATAACTAACATCGCTTTACTACTATTTTAGTACTATACAGATGCCAATGAAGCCGAGTCATGGATGCGTGAGAAAATGCCTTTGGTCTGTAGCGACGACTATGGCAAAGACGAAGCAAGTGCTAAGGTATGTCGAGATAGCCTGTTTTAAAATTGTAAAAATTAAACAGCAAGAATGACAATGACAATGGCATGAAGTCAATACTACGTTGTGTAAAAATTCAAGAAAATTTGGCAGTTAAGTATATTCAAATTTTTGAGAGAAAAGATGAGAAATAAGCGTGACCATTTGATTTTTATCAATATCTTATATCTCAAATCGGAAAAAAATGCCTGTCTCAATGAAACTCAATCTGACAAAACATAAAAGCTTCAAAATAATTTGAATACTATCACGAAGTCTTTAATTTTTCTATAATGTCATGCATGCATTTGGTTATTGAAGATAATTTTTTTGTAAATGTAACTAATGATGATAATTTATAAATAAATTTAAAAAAAAACAAAAAAAACTAAGTCTTTAATAAAATGATTGAATTACTTATAAGGATGACCTTAAAGCAAGGTTATTGTTTTTGTGTCACAACCAAAAAGTGGTGACATATTGTTATGGTTTTATGACAGCGGTTGGTGTCTGTTACAAATGGTGGTGACATTTTGCATATTAATGCCTTGTAATTCATTATTTTATATTTGTCTTTCAGTCATTAGCCATGCGGCATAACCGACTAGATGAGGAGATCAACGCATACGAAGATGACATCAACAGACTCAATGAACTCTCTACAATGATGACTAAGGCAGGAACAATGGTGAGAAACTCTTAACATCATTATTAAAAAATCAGAAATCAGAAGTCAGAAATCGAATAATTTTTGAGTATTTTTTTGTAAAGATGGCAAATTAATATCATTATGAATTGTAATTGTTTATAAGTTGCAAGTGAAATTGAAATTGAAATTGAAATTGAAAAACTACGACTTTTGTCCAATTTTCATGAAATTCAATTTTGTTGTATAAGATACGTACACTTAAGTACACTTAAGATTATTACGTGGGCTACACTGATAACACATCTGAAAATTGATTGGTTCCGTTAAGTTGATTATCATGGACTTTGGTCAATTGTATTGTGATTTCCAATACGTCATATTCTTAAATAAGCTATAGCTTTTATAACAATATTAAGAGAATAGGTGGATAAAGGTAAAACTCTACGTCATCTCTCCAAAAATAAAACCCCCATGAAGTTAATTTTAATAGCTATCTGATACTTAAGCTCATAGTAATTATTCCCCAGTTTAGCCATTGGTCATTCTTCATGAGTTGATTAATATGTGATTAATATGACAACAGACACGCCTTTTGCATCATTGGTGCGACTTCTCATGCCGTAGGTTCATGACGCATTACTTACGAGTCACGGAGATGTGTTAATGAAAAATGGTTATGATTACTTTAACAAATTTACAATATTGGGTAGATGTGCTAATTTTTGCGATGCACTAGGCGGGACATTCTGTCTATCCATTAGTTCACAAGTGTTGACAATTAAGAGTTGTGTGTTAGTTGCCATGGGGCTAGATATTGTATATCCTCTGAAAATTAAATTTCTCGAGATTTTATTGCTCTCTCTTACAGTTTTTTTTATGTTTACTCATTTGATTTTAATAAAATGATAGACTTTCAGGCATACTATCTTGGTGTCATTCCCTTTGCTTTAAATGCTGCCTTAAGCCTGACAGTTTCCAGAATTGGCTACGACTATAGTGCATATATAGCAATAAAGAGTATGATAATTGGCAAATTTTAATGAGTAGCTGTATCTTTAAACTGTACTAACATACACTCACCTCCAAAAGTTTGGCAAAAGTAGATTTCCCATTGGATAGCATGTTAAAACCTGTTTATATTTTGGATTTCAATTATTTTTCACATAGTTGCATGAGGTCAGAAATTAAATACAAATTGATTTTATTGAAAATATGAAAAGGAAGTTTTTATTTTGATAAAGAACACTGAAAAATATGCATTAAGTTAATATGTGGTTAAATAGGGGAGGTGGTTTTGCCAAACTTATTGAGAGAAGTGTAAGTCCATTGTATTTATTTCATAATTTTAATGCAAAAAATATTTTCCATTAGCCTACAAATAATAATCAACCAAGAAACATTTGGGGATCGGAACATAATAAAACGGTTTGTTTATACTGTACATATATTTCTTCAAGATCTAATAAATGTTGTTGTCGCTCAACATGTGTATCCATAGAAACAGTCATGGAGGCCATGCCTATTCTACACTTTAAAATCAAAAGAATTCTCTCATTTTTCGATACTTCAGAGAGTGGAAATGTCGTCTGCTCATGCTTATTTCACTGATTTCTCTCTAAAATTTGAATGAACTGCCTGATTTTCTTGCATTTCTTTATAATTTAGAGTATTAACGACATGCCTGTTTATTTCATTCCTTGCTAATTCCACTCCTTTCCACTCTATTTTGCATTTTAAAACATGGCCACCATGACAAGTTTTATTTGGAATTGTAAACATTTGTGTTGTTGTTATAGTCTAAATATAAAACACCAAGACAGGTATTGTATGTCAGAATATTGATATTGTAGAATATTGATATTGTAGAATGTGAATGTTTGGCTTGAGATATGACAATCTTAATCTATTGATCTGCTCAATGGGTATCATTTTTATTTTACCATTTTTATTATGTCAAATACATTTTCAAATGAACTTTGAGCAGATCATATAGATGTTATTTAAATGAACAGTATATATTATACAGGGTGGTCCAAAAAGATGTATACATTTTTGATAAAGTAGCATGTTTTATTATAAGTAAACTTAACAAGTTCACAATTCTATAAGAAATGACTTTGAAAAAAATTGTTAAATTTTCCCTTCAATAGAAAAAGCTAGTACTCTATCAAAAATGTATGCATCTTTTTGGACCACCCTTTATATGAGTGTGTAGCATGGCTTTTTCATGTTTATGTAAGGCGAGATGGGAGAAGAATATAATGATAAGTCGAATTCCTTGAAACATCTTCGGATTCAGCCCAAAAATCGTGACCCCATTGAGGTCACAGTTGTGGATGCTCCCCAACAATATGGCGAAAAGTAATGGCTGACTTATTGTGGTACTTCGTTGTGGATGCTCCCCACCAATATGGCCAAAAGTAATGGCTGACTTATTGTGGTACTTCGTTGTGGATGCTCCCCACCAATATGGCCAAAAGTAATGGCTGACTTATTGTGGTACTTCGTTGTGGATGCTCCCCACCAATATGGCAAAAAGTAATGGCTGACTTATGGTGGTATTTCGCTGCAGATGCTCCCCACCAATATGGCCAAAAGTAATGGCTGACTTATTGTGGTACTTCGTTGTGGATGCTCCCCACCAATATGGCCAAAAGTAATGACTGACTTATTGTGGTACTTCGTTGTGGATGCTCCCCACCAATATGGCCAAAAGTTGTGGATGCTCCCCACCAATATGGCCAAAAGTAATGACTGACTTATTGTGGTACTTCGTTGTGGATGCTCCCCACCAATATGGCCAAAAGTAATGGCTGACTTATTGTGGTACTTCGTTGTGGATGCTCCCAACCAATATGGCCAAAAGTAATGGCTGACTTATTGTGGTACTTCGTTGTGGATGCTCCCCACCAATATGGCCAAAAGTAATGACTGACTTATTGTGGTACTACGTTGTGGATGCTCCCCACCAATATGGCCAAAAGTTGTGGATGCTCCCCACCAATATGGCCAAAAGTAATGACTGACTTATTGTGGTACTTCGTTGTGGATGCTCCCCACCAATATGGCCAAAAGTAATGGCTGACTTATTGTGGTACTTCGTTGTGGATGCTCCCCACCAATGTGGCCAAAAGTAATGGCTGACTTATTGTGGTACTTCGTTGTGGATGCTCCCCACCAATATGGCCAAAAGTAATGGCTGACTTATGGTGGTATTTCGCTGCGGATGCTCCCCACCAATATGGCCAAAAGTAATGGCTGACTTATGGTGGTACTTTGTTGTGGATGCTCCCCACCAATATGGCCAAAAGTAATGGCTGACTTATTGTGGTACTTCGTTGTGGATGCTCCCCACCAATATGGCCAAAAGTAATGGCTGACTTATGGTGGTATTTCGTTGTAGATGCTCCCAACCAATATGGCCAAAAGTAATGGCTGAGTTATGGTGGTACTTCGTGCCTTGTATCGATTCACGTGTTGAAACAAACAATCAGAGGTGACAAATAGATGATAATTCATCCTAACTATGTGTGAATTGCAAATATGGATAACAGATCAATTACAACTTGTTATGCTCCTACCTGCTTATTATTCCTAAATAAACAGCAATTTCATGTGTAGATATTTTCATAAACACCATATTTTGCTTCATCCAGCTTCGAAGAAACCAACGATGCTATCATCTATTGATGGTGAAAGTTGAAGATGATTTCAAATTAAAACAATTTTTGGACTATTAGGATCCAAATTAGGGAATTGTCCTTTTAAGTTCACAATTAAATCAAGGGTTGATTTTGTAGTAAATCCAAGCTTTATTTAAACAAGTAGCTAAGATTAATTACAAATCCATGCTTTACTTGAACAAGAGTCTTAAGGTGTGTTGTGATTTAAGGTTCAATTTAAGACGAGTATACAATAAGATATGTATACAATAAAAAATTATAAGACAAGTATACAATAACAATTAATTGTATATGATTGTGCATGTGTGTGTAGGTTGTGTATGCGTATGTATTGGTTTAAAGAATATGGTAGCACATTTTTAAACATCATTGTGCTTTCGTGAAATGTACACTGGCAATTAACAGTACTATACAGTGCTGCTCATGAAACAGTGCTGGACAGCGCTGTAAAACGGTACTGTACATTGCTGTTTTCTAAAACAGTGCTGTACAATGCTGAAAAAAGTACTGCACTATGCTGCTCAAAACAGTGTTGTTAGAATAGCACTGTTTTGCTCATTCTGCACTGTTCAGTACTGTTTACAGCACTTTACAGTGCTGCAAGATTATGTTGCGGATTGGGGGATGTATTATGCTTTTGTGAACATTTTTTATGCATGAGCTGCACGGTTTTAGAAGTTATAAAACTTCACATATTCATAGTGTATACCTGACATTTTTAATGATTTAACAAATCATTAGTGAAATATATTCCAGCATTTTATAACATTTATGTAGCAATTTTAACACAAACTTATTAATATTAACTTATTTTAAAACATTTACTGCTGCTTTTGGTGTAGCCAGCTATGAGGAAGGCGAGTCTAAGAAAAATATCTTTCAGACTGAACCTGTGAACATGATGCCTCGGAATACTATGCCATCCCAGTTGGCTTACATTTTGCCTCACCTATTTCAATGTGCCTCATCTTATTTCAATTTGCCTCACCTAATCTTTGGATGCTGGCTAGACTCCTTACTCCCATAACTTGTATGAACAGAATAATTTATTTACTAGAATAGTACCTCACTTTTATTATCAACAATGCAAGATTTTGACTCAAACTGTTTCAACAATTTTCAGGCCTCTCCCGGAGCTAAATTTAAGGCGTTTGAGTTCTCAGACCAAGATCTTGAGGAACCAGCAGCGGAGGAAGAGCCAGAAGAAATAGAAGTTGAGGAAGTTGTCGAGAGGGAGGTATTACAGGATGTCGTTGAAGAACGGAAAATTCCCCAGGTTAAATCTGCCTACCCTTACAAGGGCCAAGGACTGGATATACCAAAAGGAGAGGTAGGTGTTAATAAGTCATTATCAATTGTTCCACCGAGTTAAGTTTGAGCAGGGATAGAGAGTAGCCATCTATTGATTCATCTGTTTGTCTATTTCCTTATTTGTCTCTCTGGGTGATAACTCAAATACTAGTTGACAGAGTTTGTTCCAATTTTAATAAGCTCCTGCCTTAAGGCATACAACCTCTACTCGTGAAGGCATTTCAAATATCACTTCTCAATTCAAAACTTATTGATAAAAATGTAATCTTCAAATTTTAATTTAGTGTTCAAATTAGTAGGGTGCTGGTAAAATAATCTCTGACTGTTGGTACATTATTTGAAAAAAAATTCAGTGCTGGAATGGATTATTTATAAATTAATTAAAATTATATTTAATATCTAATTAAAGTTGCTGTTGGTGATGATAATGCCAGTATATATGGAAGTAATTTTTTATCACACAAAGGATATTTTCTCATATTGAGGTATCGCGACATATTACATAAATAATTTTATTATTTTTCTGTACAAATTATTATTTTGATCAATCAATTTACTTATACAAATATAATATACTACTATATCATCATTGAGCAATAGGCAACCCAAGTTCAGAATTTTTCTTTTCATTGTTCGTTGAAAAAGCAGTTTTCTGATGGACGCCGTTGTAGTGGTGACTTTGGGTGGAGCGATTTTTTGTAAGTACTTCCGGTGTGAAAGGACCACACGGGGTATCATAAAGTTGGACTTGTAACACTTTGATGTTACATTTTCCTGCATTGTCAATTGTTTTTACGTCAGGTTTTGTTGGCTTTTCATCCTTGACTTCTACAGTGATGTCACTTGCAGATGTTTTTCTGTCTGATGTGATGTCGAGTAATTCCACATTTGTATGATTTTTCTTTGCTTGAATAACAGGGGTTGTCAACATATTTTGAGCCGATACTTCTTTCACATTTAGTTTTGTCAAAGAATTTAGTTTGTCTCTTGTCCTTGAGTTAAAGGTGTCGCCATTAGTAGGGCTGGTAGAACTGTCCCGGAAAATGATTGTATTACAAGAAATCTTAGCACACTGCCTGCGGAAAGACCTTTTGAAATCTTTCCTGAAAATCCCATAGACTAACGGATTAATTGCACTCGCAACATATTGAAACCATGACGCAAAAAGATTAGCATAGGCAGGCACCATGTTTGTATTTTCAAGAACAACCTTGAGGAGTTTAGTGACACAAAATGGTGTCATACATATGAAGAAAAAGGCCACGACGATGAGGAGACTTGTGATTGTCTTTTTTGTGTGCTTGCTTTTAGATTGCTCCTTTCTCGTCTTTTTCTGTGTTGAGCCATTCAGTTCAGTTATGTCACCAATGCTTGGGGCTGCTGGCATGCTCTTATCCATTCGTTTCACCTCCTTAATGATCTTTAAGTAGCAATAGATCATGATGATCCCTGGGAGTAGAAAACAAATGATGAATGCGGCGATGACGTAGATTACGGCTGCTTGATAGTTCCAGTCGATGGCGCAGATGACCTCCCAATAATCATACTGTATCCAGTCCATAATAATCGGCACCGAACCAAATATAAGTCCTAAAATCCACCCGTACATCACCATACCGACTACCCTTTGTTTTGTTATCATCGTCACATATTTCATTGGATGGATAATAGCCATATATCGATCAATGCTGACAAAAGCAAGTGTTGACATTGAAGCGATTATGAACACATAGTTCAATCCACAGTTTAAAAGGCACCATATTTTTGGCATTTCGTCAGCATCTGTGACCAGTTGCACGAATGTGGTCATCATGATAAGACTTGCTGTACACAAATCAACAATACTTAGATTTAGGATGAAAATGTTTGATATCTGCTCCCGAAGTCGTGAGTTTGTTTTGATCGCCATGATCACTGCAACGTTTCCAATGACGGAAAACACAATGATGAAAAAGAGGATGATTCCTGAGATGATAATAGCGATGTTGTCACGGCGTTGAATAATTACTGTTGCATTGTGGGATGTATCGTTCCATTTAACGTCATCCATCTGAAAAACACAAAAATGATGAATTAAAAATGAAACAAAATAGCTTGTGATGCAGCATTTGTGTATTAAAGAATATAAACCAATTTTAACTTAAAAGAATGATTATTAGTGTTTTCACCTTAAATCTATTTACCATAATTACACCTTAGACCTTCTTGCTGGTTAGCTCTGGATTCTACCAGTCCATATGATCCATTGTAAAAAAAAAATATTGTTTCATTTCTTTTTTTTCTTTTTATTTATTTTAGTATTAAAGAAAACTGAGTGACAAGTAGAAATGCTGAATTGAATTGAAAAATAATTATTGTTCATTTTGATATTCAAAAATATTTGTACTTAGACACAATTGTTAAATTGGTTGAACATTTTTGGATGAAAGCTGAAAGCTGAAGTCATCTAGGGCCATAACTGGGTCCTAAGGCAAAATGGACATTAGCTGGATTTGCTATTGTACACAATCGGTCTTTTTAAAATATTGTTATTAACAAGTTTGATACAATACACAAACAATTGAAAACGTTGAAGAATTATAAAAGTTTCAGATAAACTTAAACTAAACAAAAACAAAAACTAAACAAAAACAAGTGCAGCTGAATTTATTTAGTTTTTTAAATAACATTGACTGCTTCATTTAGGATGCATTTATTGTCTTTATGCAGATTAAACTCATAAAAATTAACAAGACTTAAAAACAATGAATTACGGTATTACCTTTTTTCAACGTTGCCTAAGTAAATAAACTTGCATCAGTTTTTTTTGAAAATGATCACATAAAGTTCATCTATCCCTTTTGCGACAAAACTTCATCAAACTTTTTCTCATTTTCTTGCCTTATTGTACAATGAAAGAAAATCTAGTTTATCCTTGCTGGTTCAAATCCTCCCCCTCTTTCAAAACTTGACTGCTAGGGTGCTTTACCTAATGCTTATTTGCAACGATTTTATATTGTATTTAATTAGAACTGCATATTATCTTTGTTATATATATAAGTATAAGATATGTAGTCACTCTGCGGCTTATGATAACTTGAAATTGGCTTCACGCATGTTTATATAGCAGCATGAATGCCCTCTATAGTATATGTATGAGTGTTTGTTAACACGTTTCTTATTGTTAATAGGAGTTGTATTGAGAATATATTAATTAGGGAGCATCTCAAAAGTTCAATGTAGGATTATTAACTATTTGCACAGTTAATCTATGACCCCTCCCTCCCCATCATAACTGTATTTGAGAAATGTTGATATTTTTTGGTTTCGAAAATCACAGTATATCTTACACTACATGCATTTATATATTTGTATATGGCCTCATTCGATCCAGACCAGACCCTATTGACAAAACTTTCATATTTGCCACTTGGATTGGCATAGACAGGCTTCAGAACGCTCATTTTTAGTTTAATAACGCAGATGCGAGTAGGTAGTTACCAGTTTCACCACCAGGTGGCTCGTTCGGGTCAGATAGCTTGGCGGGTATAGTAAAAAGTTCCCTTTAACTTAAATTACATCTGTTTTAGTGGTTCAATTTTCATATAACCCTTATGTATCTAATAGTTATGCAAATCAAAATATGTCCAGTAAATGAAAATGTTATCTGACCAGTACAAGAAGAGATATTTTACTTTTTGTGATTTTGTAGCATGGGCTCTATGGAGAATCAACCTGAACTAGAAGTCACACTTTCAAAAATAATTAAATTTTCAAACTTGATAAACAATTTTCGGAACCATATTTCTAGATACTTTTACATGTAGATTTCAAATATAACATCGCTTTGACTAAATTTTGAATATTTAATGGCGTAAATCAAGATTTTTCCTATTCGCATCTAGTCTATTTACTTTGTTGTGTTAATGTTTTTTTATTATTTTTTTATTTATCGTACCAGAAGTGCACTGGACAAAAAGTGCATGTACTAATGAAATTCCAGGGAACGATGTTGGAAGGGTAACTTTTACGCTAATGACCCCCTCTCTCCCTAACCTTGCAAATACCATTAATTTCCTGATATTGATCTTTCGAAATGCTCCCTTATTGTGATGTGTTAAATTTGACACTCATGTAATACTCCCATTTCATCCATATTCCCTTGGCAGTATCTGGGATAGACACTGCGGCGGGTAAATGAAAAATCATAATCAGACTAAATTAGACCATTTTTAGTACTACTGTGTTTGTAAATTGCTCAGTTCTATAGTTCACCACATGTGGGTTCATCTGCCCAATACAACCAATTAAGTTCTTGAGATCTTTCATTGGTAGTTGGAACTTACACGGTGCCCATGTCAATCTGCGCGCCTACTAGGCACACAGTTTGAGACTCTGACAAACTGCGCTCATATTTCAAAATGAAAGACGGGGAGGACACGACTCCCGAAAAAAGCCAGAATATCGTCATTTAGCATTTATTCAGCCATGATATATTTGTTCCACCCCTGCTTTTTGATTTTTCTTGCATGAATATGTTGTATTTTGACACACAGTTAACCCCTTTAAATGAATAAGTGATTCCTTCGGGCGTTTTAAAGATATCCATTATGGGTGACCAAAATTAGCTGAAAGCAATTAATCACATGAGTTTTCCCTATGGGAAAATAACATGGGAAATATTGTTTTCCACTTTATCTAAAAGGAATCACTTATTCCTTTAAAGGGGTTAACTGTATGTCAAAACACAACATATTGATGCAAGAAAAATTTAGAAAGCAGGGGTGGAAGGGTTTTTTCAGAAAAATTACGTGGGTGGGTTGTTTGCATCTTCCCTGTCTCAAAGTCGAAATTATTTTATCATCTCTTGGAGTGCTTTTCCTGAAGGTAATGCATTGGTCTAACATATGCACCTGTTTAAATCCTCAGAAAATAGCTAAAATACAAAATATGACTGTCCGAAATCTGTTGCGATACTTTCCCTCCTCCTTTGCCTCACTGACCTTTTATTGTTTCTCAAAATATATTCTCCAAATCAGGAAATTTGAGTGATGAGCAGGAAAATTTTGTAGGGAATTTCAGTTACAGGGGTTCATTTTTGGAACTGTCAAACTTATGATTTGGTAGCAAGTCATTGTTCGTCACAAAATAAAGAATGATTTACGATCATACCAAAATTGAAACCCAGTATAGTACTGTTTATTTGATGATATAAAAATTTCCAATTTTTTGTAGCTAAAATTGCGAACCTCAAACAGAAGTGAAGATACATATTTTTTTTAATCATGTGATCGGTTCTTATCCAATGAGAAAGCGAGAAACATTTCAATGATTTAATAAATGTAAATAACATATAATATGACTCATTGCTTGTGCATTTGGCAGACATGCCTTGTTCCTACCCTATGAAGAATAACAGCAAAATAGCACCAGTGGGCAAACTCCACAATGCTTTCAAATTAATTAAGATATATGTAATATGAATAGGTCTTAAAATTGACCCCAGTGGCTCTGCATCATATGTATTACTTTACACATGTATATTGAACTTTGTCAGCGGTGAAAGTAACAAACATTGATTTTATGGAAAAAATCTCCAGGTATGCAATTGTAGAAAAATACAATAAACATGATTTTTCTGAATGGTAAATTGACTTAAAGAATGTAGAATTGATAAGGAATAATTTAAAATCAACATAATTAATACACATGTAGATAAATATAGGTACACAATAATAGTCCAAATTCTTTAAAAAAGAAGGAAAATAAGGCAACATTTTTAAATAGTACCCCACACACAATTTTGTCGCCTACTTTGATGTATTGTAGAAAAATATCCAAAAAGAGTTTGCTTATGAAATTTGGCATACTTTAACTTGAAACATTTTGTGATACTCAAATTTTTTTTTTGGAAATTTAAGTAATATTGACGAAAAACAAGCAGTTTTTAAATATTCATGTTTTAACAAAATTCAACGAAAATTTCCAGTTTTGCAGTTTCAAAGAGAGTTCAAATCATTTTGATTACATTTTGATTACAAACTTATTGCATTACATATGGTTTATCTGTTCTCTTAAGATATTGTTACTATGTGTTTGAGATGTTTTAACTCCTAAATAGGAATATTTTAAGGGTGGTTTTATTATTGTTAAAGAGTGAAGACCCCTATTAATTATTCTTTCAATACATGGGTAGGTGCATGTATCATATGGCTTGAAGTCTAAAAAGGTTTATCAGTGCATTAAAAGACATCCCTGCGTGGATTTCTATCCCATCCTACCACTACAGCATTTCCTACTTTCTCACTCGATTAAAAAATCGCATCTCATAAAATCTCAAGAAAATGCTTGTATTTTGTTTAAGTTATTTAAGGCATGATTAACAGTGAGCTTGCACTCTTCAAAATTTCGTTGGCCTACGATAGGGAGGCAACATTCGTCCAATGACTCACAGGTTGCCACCGACCGCTTACCTTTTGTTGGACAACATGAAATGATTCACATGGATTTAACATGTGACCTTTCAGAGGTAACAGCATAAATTGTAACATTATAACAGTCACTCCTGCTTGGTTCAGTTTTGCTTTTACCTGTGGGTTATAATGGTGTTTGATAGGATAGGATTGACCAGAATATTCAAATTGTTTTTGTAATTCAATACAAATTGTTTCAAAATTTTGCTTAATTTAGGTCAAATCTGTAAATACGTAGCAATTTAGAAACCGATGTCAAATTGTGGTGAAGTAATATTACCCCAAACAAAAAAATTTGAGTGTCACAAATTGTTTCAATTAAAATGTATGCCAAATTTCATGAGGAAATTCTTATTGGATTTTTTTCTACAACACATTAAAGTGGGCGACAAAATTGTGTGTGGTGTACTATGTTCTCTTTTTGTATTTCTAAATAGTTTTAAGCGCTGCTTAATACTGGTTTATCCAGTAAAGTGAATAATGGATACACTCCCCTCGACAAGTTTGGCAACCTTAGCTCCCCCATTGAACTACGTGTTAAAGCCCCTTTATATTTGAATTTTTATTTACTTACCCTGCTATGAAATTACTTATTGTATTGATGGAAACGTAACCTGACTTTATTTCCAATACCTCCAAATTTTCCCAATTTTTTCCTCAATTATAATAGGTCGAAAATTTATGATAAATTTTTGAATTTTTAAAAAACATCTTTCCCATGTAAACCAATGGGAAATGGTAGGTTCGGGGGAAATCAGAAATCAGGATATCTATTCAGTATAATATCCAGCAAAAAATATTTTTATATAGAAAATTAAATTATCTAACTTTTTTGTGCACTAAGTGTTTAGTTTACTTGATGAATACGAAATCTGTAAGTTGTTGTTTGGCGTCGGGTTGAGCCTTCTGACCCCAGATTCGGGTCAGTTTGGGTCGGTGTGACACCTCTACTCATTTGTTATCTGATTTTTCTTTGTTTAAAAAGCTTTTGTACATATACTAGCAGCCCTGACCCTCATGGTAAAAAGTAATATAGATTGAGTTATCGTTTAAACTTATTAAACATCTCAGGTGCGAAGAAAATTGCTTAGGATACTAATATGTTTGTTGAAGGACCAAAGAATCACATTTCATGGATAATAATGTTATTGCTAATGGACGTCACACCTGTGACTCACATAATAGAAACATTGTAAAATTACTTTTGCATTCTGTATTACTTACTTAAATGTATGAAAATGGTCTAGATGTTTACATTACATTTTTCACATGCAAATTCTCAGTCCAATGCACAAAGTTTTGGTTAAGATAATATGCAGAATTTCTTTCCCAAAGTCAGTATAAGGAACAGCATTCTCCAACACTTTGGAAACCCATACATACTTATACATGTATGATGAGTCACACCAACTTGTAGATATACTCCAACCTACACATACTCATACCTATCCATACTCATACCAAATCATACTTACTGATGAGTCACTCCAACTTGTATGCAATACTCAAACCTACATATACTAATACCTACACATACTCGAACATGCATACTCATACATACTTATACATGTACTTAACTGATGAGACACACCAACTTGTAGACATACTCATACCTACATACACTCATACCTACACATACTAATCTCATGTTTGGTGTGATATATGGCACATGTTATAACTCCTATTGGTGATAACTGTCTATTGGTGATGTGAATTTTGTATTTTCTCATTTTAGGTCATGATCCTCGTTCACAAAACAAATGCAGACTGGTGGCAGATCAGACAAGCCTCGGGTCAAGAGGGCTTCATTCCAGCCAATTACGTGAAAGAATACCAACCAAAGGTTGTGCGGAAGACAGTCCAGAAGCCTGTCAAGGTCAAAGATGTCATCAAGGTCAAGAAACCAAATACAAAAGCTGGAACTGGCGAGAAAAGGAAAAAAGGAGGAAGTATAAGGAGAACTCCATCAAGTAAGATTATCATTGTTGCAATACGGAATCTATCCTAAAGTGTACTTTTTCGCAGTATTGAATCAACAAGCAATGATAGTTGAAAATATATTTTATCCATTGAATCAGTACTGTAAAACCTGTGTAAATTGAACAATTTTTGCCGAGAAAAAAATATTCAGTGTTGGTAGGTGTTCACTACAGAGATTGTAATTTATACAGTAGTCAGTATGGTATGTGCGGTTGAAGGGTGTCTGCTAGAGACAGGTGTTCACAGAGGTGTTCATTGTTCACTATGACAGGTTTTACCGTTATAATTTCGATATTTAATAAGTTTGCAAATCACTCCTCATCCTATGAATTATTTATTTGTATGCTGTCTACTTTTATTTATACTTAAAAGTACAATAAATACTTAAACGTACAATAAAAACTGTCAAAGGGGATACCGCTGTAAGTGAAACACGTTTCAGAAATCCACAACCCATTGATTCAACATTAACTCAAAACCTTTTAAAGTGGAACACCTCTAAAGTAGAACACCTAGAGGCACCACTTTTAAAGATTTTAATGATACTATAGTATTTAACAATAAAGTATTTAATTCGTTTAATGCATTTAGAACTATATCGATTTTTTTTTTCACTACTTACAAGTATATTGCTTGACTTATATTGCTTGATCTGTTTTCAGTTCGCTCGGAGAAAAACCTTCATTTTGACAAAGAGAATGTTGAGCAGAGGCAACAAGGCATCAACGCCACCTATACTAGATTGTGTAAACTAGCTAAGGTAACATACACAAAGTGACATAAAATTCCAACCATCTACTTTTGAATTATCTTGGAAATTCAGTGTTGGAAACAATGCTATATTTAAATATAAATTAACTTGGGTGTATAGCGTGTAGAAATCACTTTAATTGACTCGATGTTTTGTCATTTGATATTTCTTATTAACGATAATTATTTTTTGAAAAAATAGAAAAAGTAATATTCATATTTTTATGGTAGACAAAGATACCTGATTACACGGTCAAATTACTTAGATGTTACTAAGAATTTAATTATCATTGATATATTTTAGGCAAGACAAAGATACCTGGATGACGCCGTCAAGTTATTCCGATTTTACCGAGAATGTGATCAGATTGAAACCTGGATGGCTGATAAGGTAAGCACACTGGGAGGGGGAAAATGTGATGAAGCACTGGGGGGGGGGGGGGGGGTAGTAGTGGAACGCATAGTACCTCAGTGGCTGATTTTTTTGAAGGGTCATAAATGCATCATATATAAGGTACTTGGTAAATTTTGTGTATATTTAACAACTAACGAGGCACAAAAATGTGTTCACTTTTGGTAGGTGTTCACCACAGAGAGGTGATTTTATACAGAAGTCAATGGAGTGTTTGCTAAAACTGGGTGGTCTCTAGACTCAGGTGCTCACTAGAGAGAGGTGTTCACTATGACAGGTGTAACTGTATATGGTATACATAAGCTATCTATGAAATAATCCTACATTATTCTTGAGAACCATACCAGGAGGTCATTAACAGATACTTATAAAGCCTCATATATTGCAGATATTGATATAATGGCGTTGTTGTATTAACCGAACAATAGCATTAAGGAATACATAACTTTATGAAGTTATTGTTAATGATCTCATGGGTGGCTGTTGTATTATGAAAGGACACAAGTGTATCACATACGAGTTAATCTATCTTATGCCTGGTCACATTTGTCCTGATTCAAGAAGTATGGAATATGAATTTTATTCCAAGGAAAATGGGGCCTTTTAATGAGAACATTTGTGTACACAGGGAATTGGTACTAAAAGTACTAAAGAAATATATCCTTAATTGCTCCTTTTATTAAGCACATTGAATAAAAGGGAAATTGAATCACTTCCTTGAGAAATATAAATTGGTCATGATGTAAATGTTCGTGTAATGAACACTCTCAATTATATAGAATTTCAAGAACAACAGGCAGGTCATTCCAATTTTAGAGAGAGAAAATCTGGAATAGGCTTGGCTAGAAATTGTGATATGACATGAGCCTTGACTTTATTGAAATTCTTCACACATTTGTCAATATATTATACATTGATCCTATTTGTCTGCGTCAAAAATATTGTACATTGATCAAAGTCGTCTGCGTCAAAAAGAAGAAATCAATTTTCGTGCTCTATATTGACATTGGAATAGTTTCGTTGTTTACTGTATATATTTTTGTATATCAAGTGAGAAATGGTTGCAACTACTGTGGGAGTTTGGTGTGACTCCTGTTGGAGATGGGTGTGACTCCTGTGGGAGATGATTTTAACTTCTGTGGGAGATTGGTATGAAAACCGTGGGAGATGGTATGACTCCTGTGATAGATAGGTTCAACTCCTGTGGGAGTTTGGTATGACTCCTGTGGGAGATGATTGTAACTTCTGTGGGAGATTGGTGTGACTTCTGTGGGAGATTAATATGACTCCTATGGGAGTCGGTTGTGATTCCTGTGGGAGATGGTATTATTCCTATGGGAGATGGGTGTAACTCCTGTTGGAGTTTGGTGTGACTGCTATGGGAGATGGTATTATTCCTGTTGGAGGTGGGTGTAACTCCTGTTGGAGTTTGGTATGACTCCTGTTGGAGATGGTATTATTCCTGTGGGAGATGGGTGTAACTCCTGTTGGAGTTTGGTGTGACTGCTGTTGGAGGCAATTTGGCTGTGGATGGTTTTCCATATAGACTGAGACGATTGATTGATAATTTAATCGCATAAAACTGCTTTTTTTTCTTTTTTCTTGTCTATTCTTTGTTGTTTTTCCTTTTCCTCATACAATGGAATGTTATATTATGATAGTCGATTATATGAATTCATGAATGTTTATGCTACTATACCTGATGTTTTGTTTGTGTCTAAATGTCAAGTTATTATTATGTTATATCTGGTAATGAAAACTCATAAATCGAATATCCAGGTATTAACTTGCAAGGAGGATATATCAAGGTTCTACAGGGTGTCAAATAAATTTGTTCTCCCCCACTTGAATTTATCGTCCACACAATGTTGCAAAACTTTTTTGTCTGTATGATATCATGAATTGTTTTCCAGCACATAAAAACTAGGCTTGATGGAGCAACTCCAAGAGAAGTTTCAGATGACTAGCTTAACTAGGAACACTTTTATGTATAAAAGTTCATATTTTTGAAATTAAGGTGGAGAACATATTTATTTGACACCCTGTATATTTGTTGTCATTTGTGAGGAGTTTCATGTTCTAGAAGTGGAATTAGTAAGGAATCTAAATCAATAAGATGTGTAGTAAATCCACTAAATTGTATTACATTGAGATACAAGGAAATCAGACAGTTTATTAAGGGAACCTTTGGCACGGAATAAATCCTTAATGAGCTTAATTATTATCTGTCTCCTAAAATAGTTCGCATGTTAGCTTCTTGTATGTTTTTGAGTAATTTTTGCAATATTACTGGCAGTGATTATGACATTTTCTATCTAAGTCTAACAGGATATCTTATATCTAAGACCTTATTACTTTTCTGTGGCTTATCTGGGCAGATCACATATGCCAAGAACTCCTCCATTCCTCACTGATGAGGATTTTTTGTCCCATGCTCCCCGTGTTGAGAAATATTCTCACCAGTCAATGAGAGTGTAACAAGGACATGTTATTATTTGGATGTGTAACGCTGCCAACAGTACAATGGTTTTGGCTACGAAACCGTGAAATATGGCACCGTATGGTACTGTAGACTCAAACAGTACTGTAAAGTACTATAATGGGCGGTTCTATACAATATATAATATTGGCCATTTCACCTGGATCTTCTTTATTAAATGTGTTTTGAATGAGGAAACTCATTAGCAGACACCAGGGAAATACCAGTTAATAACATGGTAGACTGATTAAGAATTGAAGGACAGGGACATGTTACGAACATGATGACTATCAATACTTTATAATGGAGCCTACAACTCTGTAGTTATTAATACCTGTTATAGATATTCACTTTCAATTAATAAAAGGAAGAAGAATATCAATGAACAACTTGAAGAGACTACAGTGACTTCTACTTTAAGATTCTCAGAAAACCCCTGTAGGATGAAGGCTACAGGTTCAACATGTTTAGTAATCTAAAATTTAGTCATCCCATTGTCTCACACGTTAAAAGTCATTTTTCTAAACTGAACGCCCCCAGACTCAAATACTTTTTGCTGGGTCCCCAGAGCAGGCCGGCAAAGTCAGCTTTTACCAAGGGGGTTCACTTTTCAAAAGTGGGTTCACATTTGACATTTTGGCCCAAATCACTTGAAAAGTGCGCAGAATGGTGAAAAGCTGCATGGTTTTGAAAGAATTTTGGGCTAGGAGTCAAACTCCCCTGGCAGCTACAACTCCCCTGGCAGCTACAACTCCCCTACGTGCCTGCCAGGGTATTCGGAAGGGTTTCATGGAAGGGTTTCTGTACCATTAACATCAACATTTCCATGCTTTCCATAGAACTTTAAAGAAATAAAAGATGCATTATGTATGAGGAAATGGTTTTATCATTTACACATCATCATCTATAAACCATAACTCATTTCTTCATGGAAACCTCTTGATCGATCAAGGTATTTCATACCAACATAAATATGCCCTTGTAGACTTTGTCAACAAATCATTTTTGTACATTAACTGCAGTTTTATGATTTATGGCCTTTGGTTTCTTGGCTAAGGTATCCCATTGACTCCTATTGACAACCTTGTAATTGGCCACCTTTTATACCTTAACATGATTGCTAATTTGTGGAGATTTTGATGTTCTCATGATTTCTTATACAAGGGTCGATCCAGAAGTTCTGATAAAAATGCTTTAACTTTGAAGTTTATCGGCCTATGTATATTTGAATAAGTAATATCCTATTCTGATTCAACTTTGACTCTATTTTCCATTGTACATAGGACTTGTTTATTCCAAGAGTGATAATGAATAATAATAGGATCAATTAAATGGTTAATCCTTTAATGATCAATATGTCATTTTTATGACGTTGGAGAATGAATAAAAGATATACGTATGTATATATAAAGGGTGTTTGATCTTCTACATGTTTAATAACTTATCGAAGGCTGAAGAACTTATATTGAAATAGAAAAAATCAATTTCCCAATTGGCCAAATTTGTAAGATACTAGCAGGGCTGAAAGTCTTTAAGTCTCCAATTTTTTTCACAAATTGAATATGTTTTCTAATTCATGAGCAGATTGTCTATTTGACTCAAGCTTTCAATTAGAATTAATAATGTAAAGGAACATATTGTTTTATGTGTTTATTTACTTCTCATAAAATATTGATAAAGGAGGTCTAGTTATGACAGACACAAATGCACAGTAATCTATCCCATAAAGATTTTATGATTACATCATGGGTTTTTAAATACCTTCTGTCTTGACGGTGTATAACCTGCCTAATTTTAATCACGTTTCCTACAAATAAGAGTGTTAGCAACATGTCTGTTTGCTTTATTCCTTGCTGATTCCACTCTCTTTGCTGAATTCTGTGTTTCTTTTATGATTTTTTACGGGTTCATCTCATATTGGGCAAGGCATTAACTTAATGATTGTATCTGACAATTTACCAATTACAGTTGCCTTGATATAAAGTATTGATTATGGTTCGTTATTTGTTCTTTATTTGTCATTGAGTAGTGAGTACATTCTGTACTTTAGTGTTAATTGGAGGTCCGCTTTGGTGAGCAAAAATTAGGCAATAGGCAAACTAAATGATAAGGCAAAATTACCATAGTATTTCTTCTATGCTTTTATATCACCATATTTTTCATGATTCCCGTGACATTTTCTTATAAGTTTATCAGTGCAATTTTAAATTCATAACATTTTGTATTGTCCTCCCATGGCCTATTCTCAAGGCACTAATGACATACACAAAAGGATATCATCATTACGCTCTATGTGTTATCGCTAAATTGTCCTCATGTGTATATTCAACATAATCACATCACATTTCCAGTCATGTTTTTCACAGAAATATGAGATAAATATCAGAAAGGCCACTGGGAGATAAAAAAACTGGCAGAAAGTTGATGCTTCAAAATTCATCTGAAACCAAACATAACTAACATGTCACATGTATGGAACCATATACTTTGTTACCTTTAC